CGGCAAATCCCTAAAAAGTGGTATATATACTCTACATCTGGCCTCTTTGATCAAGTATAAAGTGATTTGAAGGTATGAAGAACAAGATGGTGTGGCCTTTTGTGTGGTCGCAGTCTCATTTCGTTGTTTTAAGAAGTTGTTTGACCGTATTTTCGCAACTTAGTCATATTGGTAGGAAAACTTAGAGGAACGCACCTAGTCCGAAGTCCATTGTATGCATCATCATTTCCAAAGTCGGATCGTGGACGTGGTACCATTTGGGAATGTACCACGTCCACAGTTCGACTTTGGAAATGATGATGCATACAATGGACTTCGGACTAGGTGCGTTCCTCCAAGTCTTCATACCAATATGACCAATATGAGAAAACAATGCCAAACAACCTCTATAAAGTGATTTGGTTATTTAAGGTCATATGTCAACTTCGATGCATGTGAATGTGTCTGTCTCTGTAGGTGTATGTGCCTGTTTGTGTTCGTTTAAGCACGAAACTCGCAGTCATGGCTAAGAGTAATTAGGACAGCAAAAAGGATAGTCTGTTTTTGGCCATCAAGGTTTGTTGAACCTTATCTCCCTCTTTCTACAAACATGTTATAACCATCACTCCGATTGCGCAAAGTCGGACACTCATCTGGTTTTGTTGATGAGCATTTTTATTTCTTTTTTTGCTGTCAATGCGAGAGAGAAAGAGTGAGCTAAGAGTACAAAGAAGTGACTATGCTTAGAAGCAAAACAAGAAAAGACTAGTTGCGTCGCCTTCTTTTGGCAGGCGGCTCAACTCTCTTTCAATCCTTCAGTCTATTAATTAAGCACAAGTAATTTTTACTTATCTTCCTACCAGTATTTCTTACATTTAATGTAATTCCTATTCGCTTTATTTCTATGGCTTCTTTAATTTTACGTTTAGCCGCAAACATGCCATAATCAGCAAAACGAAAAGTTCGAGACCATTCAATCTCGTGCACCGTTTCTGGCCTGTGCTTAGCAAGCTCCGATTTGTGCAACCAACAACCTTTGCAGGCGCTTTTGTGCTCAGCCACTCTTTGTCGAATGGGACGACAAGTCTCTCCAACATAAAAGCGATCAAATGAACACATTATTTTGTAGCAATCCGATCTGGATAATGGGTCAACTTTCTCACTAAAAGTGGGCATAAATGAAGAAAGTGTATTAGTTTCCCTGAAGACTTTTTTTATTCCCCGTTTCCTTACTTGTTCACCTATCCTTTTAGAGAGAAAAGGTCTCCTTATCTCTTCTTACATAATTACCATTCAAAAAGCTATTCCTTATTAATCTAATTTTATTTTCAATAAAGCATAGGATATAGTTATTCTCAAGAAATATTATTTTTATATTAAAGTAGAGTTTCGAGACTACCAGTAAATCAGTAATATGAGATGTATTCACTCTATTTCGTCTAAGGTGAT